ACACACACACACACACACACACACACACACACACACACACACATTTAATAAAAATGTAATTAAAAAAAAAAACCAGTACATGTCAAGGCTGGAGAGATGGCTCAGCAGTTAAGAGTGCATACTGCTTCTTTCAGAGAATCTAAGTCAGTTCCCAGCACCCACACCTCTAACTCCAATTCCAGGGCATCCAGCGCCCTCTACTGGCCTCTGTGGCTACCTGCACCCACGTTCCCATACCCACACACAGACCCACATAATGCAAAATAACAAATTAAGTCTTTTTTTTTTTTTTAACGAAGCAGATCCCCTAATAAACTTGCTGTGGCACAGTCAAGTACTGTTGGCAGATGTCTTTTAATGCATGCTTTGAGCCTTAGCTCTGCACACACTACAGGACACTCACTCAGGAAGCAGCCTTCACAAGTGTAGTGATAAAGAAGGTCCCCTGTTGCAAATGTGGGTCGCCTTATGACTGGGTCCCTGGTGTCATGGCTACAGGACAATAAAGAACTATGCGAATCATGAAGCCTCTGAAATCTACCAGAGCAGGGTCAGGAGACAGATTAGATGACAAAGCAGGCTCAGTTACTGCCTCTGTCTTACAAATAATCTTGTCTCTCTTTCGTATAACCCCGAAGCGCAGCGAAATTATCCCAGACTAAGGGAAAAAATTTTTTTTGAATGATCATCAAATGAGGTCTTAAATATGGTTTGAAAATGCCACGACTTTTTAACATTCAAACGCAGCTCTGCAAAGTCACCCGTGATTGACATTTTATTTCATCTCAGGGCTGCTAATTAAGAGGCACAGATACGAGCAGCAGAGAGGAAATCAGCAGGAGCTGCAAGCCATTCTTAAAATAAAACGCAACCTCGATTTGCTTAAATCCTAAATCAGAACACACTGGCTGCCTGTCATGTCATTCACGTGGATTGCACTAGGGGGCAGTGGATGATTGCGTCTCCAACAGGAGGGCGCTCGCGATGGCTGCTATCTATGCACTTCAAGTGTGGCAGGCTCTTCACACAATGATCAGAGCTGCAGTGGTGACAGGTAGGGAGCAACCAGTCATCGCTCGCAGCGTGTCTGTCAGAAGGATAAGGTGAAATGGGTCATTTGCATTTTCAGCAATGAGCTTGCTTTCTAATGAGCAGCCCGTGCTGCCTGGACTTGTTCTGGCTTCCCTCTCTGGCATGCGCAGGAAGGCAGTAACCAGGCCAGCCCATACCCAGGAAAGCATCCAAGAAGAGGCAGAGGCAGGGAACTCTACTCACAGGGACTGGCTGCCACAGGACACCGAGGACATAGAGAGGCTTCCCTCTGCCACACAGTTCTGCCAGCTTCCATTCGGGGAATTCCAGCCTGGAGGCTGTGTGGCCCAAATCCAAGGCACCGTTCCTGTACTAGTCTTTATGAATGATGCCTCCTACAGCAGGGCAGTGTATTGCTTGTCCCTGCTTCCACCACGTGGGGCTCGGGTTGCAGGTCTCTGTAGGATTAAATATGTCGTGTGCATGCATTCGTGTGTATGCGCGTGTGAGTGAGTGTGTGTGTGTGTGTATGTGTGTGTGTGTCCTGTCTGCTCTCTCTCCTCCTAAGAAAAACCTCTGTGTGAAAACATTTCGAGTACCACAGAGATACAGTGCCTGAGAGAGACTGGGAAACTGGGAGTGGGGGAAGGGAATTCTATGCATGCTCCATTCCCTCCTGACCTGCCTAAACCAGCTCACCAGAAAGAGTTTAGAAAATCCAGTTGTCCAGTCATTATTTGCGCTTGGGTCACTCAGTTTGCTGTGCTGGGGACATCTGCGTTTAAGCCTTATTTCTAATTGTGAAGCAAAAATTTCTAATTGTGAAGCTGAAGGCTTTCTCTGTCTCGACTGAGTGAAGACCCACTGGGACAAAGCAACCTCCCTCCATCTTCCTGAGCGTGACCCCAGGGATTTTAGACAGGGTCCTCTCTTCCTAGCCTGTGTCTTCAAGCATCTGTTCAACAAGGACATTTTTGTTTGTTTACTTGTGATCTTTAAAGCCTGAAGCCAAGGGCATCCACTAGTCACCCATCTCTGGAACACAGAACCTTGGGGAAACTGTGTAGCTGCACTGAACATCAGTTTCTTCATTCTTATATGTAGTCATGGTGACCTCTGCCTTGTGGGGTGTAGTGATGTCAATAGATAGCACTAAAAGCATCAGGCTCCTTAGTGATCACCAAGGGTATATTAGTGAACCCGATTTGTATGTTAGTAAGCACCACACACACTAAGAGAGCATCACACTCATGTTAAGGAGCAACATGTACAAGTTAGGGAGAATATGCACATGATAACAGCACCACTCAGATGGTATCACATGGTAGGAAGTATCACAGATGTTAGGGAGCACCACTCGCATGTTAGGGAGCACCACTCGCATGTTAGGGAGCACTACTCATGTGTTCTCTGAGTATTCTTGCTCTCATCCCACCTTGTTTCCCTTTCTATTTTCCTTCTTGGTCTGTCTCAGCCTCAGGACACAGATACTCCGTGGGAGTAACCCCACTTCACCCCTGGAAAGCACAGTAGACATCATTCTGGTTCTTGACACAGTGCACCCCCCACACACACACACCTACCTGGTCATCGCCATAGAGGATCAGGCACTTGTCAGGCTCCATGGAGCTAAAGCAAAGACAGAAACACAAAGCACCATCTTCAGACAGGGCACAGGGAACAGGAGCTGCCCAATGCCTCTGCATCAAGCCTTGTTTGTCACAGTCTTGGGAGCACACATGTTTGCCTGGATGTGAAGTGTTTCTCTTTAATCATCTACTTCTGCTGTGCAGACTCATGACTTTAAAAAACAAAAATAAAAACCAGTGCAGCTGAGGAGCTGAGAGACCTGTAGGGATATGCCTGGGCAAATAGGCTTTCTAAGTCAGTTATGTGCCATCTCACTGGCCTGGAAGGAGGCTTGGGAACTCCCCCAACATGGCCACCCACCCATCTGTCCCAATGGAAGGAGAGGTAAAAGGAAGGGAAGAGGAAATTCATTTGAGTGGCTGTCTATCTTCAGATGCCATCATGTGTTGGAGGCAACAAGTTTAGGGGAGTAGTTCTCCTAATGGAGAAAGATTTGAGTAGGACAGGGCTGTCTCAGGGCAAATGTGACAGGCAGAGAAGAGAAGAGAGAGGGGAAACCTTGTAGGAGGACATGGAGCGACATGACAAGCCCCAGAACTGTGTACAGAACTCCCATAAAGCTGGCTGGATAGGAGGAGGAAAAGTCACCAGCTACATCCCAGAGTTATCCCATGGCCACGGCGAGGCTTGGTGGCTGTGGTGGCATGGCTCCATGAAATGGTCATACATTAGTGAATATCAGCTTTATTCAGTGCCACACAGAGAGGGTCAGATGAAGGCGTTTCTTTCTTGGGTCAACCTCTGAGAACTGTCTGTCTCTGGAACACTTTAATTACAATCATTCTCATAGATATTCCGTAAACCTCACACTGAATGCTGTTTCTGTGCATTCCTGGAAATCTGGGCACCTCAAGGAGAAAGATGGTGTTTGTTTCTTAAGATTGTCGAGGGTATTAAGGGCTATATTTTATTTATTGATTTTTACCTTTGTGTATATATTTTACTTTTTCTCTCTTCGTGAACGTGTGTGTTAGAATCCTAATGTGTACACTGTCTTCCATCTTCACCACCGTAAGTATCTCTGATTCCTCTTTTGGACAGTGGTGTGATTATAGATGAAACCACGAATAACTACATTTTGCCTATCTTAGATGTTCTGATACCTTAGCCCTTTACTGCATACAAAAATACAAAATCCTGAAACTCCATCCTTGTGAGTTCTGTTTCTCCTTTGCCTTATCATCCTGTGCTTACAAACATTTTTTTTTCTCACCCCACCATGATGAAGAAATTCTCCTGACCCATCATGAAACCACACACCTTTAAATCCCAGTACTCAGTGGGAGAGGCAAGTGAGCTCTGTGAGTTTGAGGTCAGCCTGGTCTACTTATCAGGCTAGCCAGGGCTACACCATGAGACCTTACCTCAGAAAGATAATAATAATAGTAATAATAATAATAATAATAATAAAACAACCAAAGGAAATTCTCATATTTTCTTTTAGTATATAGCTTAAAAATCTTTAGATCTTTGCCTTACTTGGACTATTTATTTATTTTGTTAGCATGCAAGCATTAGCTTTTGTTATGATATTTTTCCAAAAGAATTTTTTGCTTTTTTTTTTTTTTTCTTTCCTCTTCTCCCTCATCCCCTTCCCTTCTTTGACCTCTGCATTTTCATGTCACCTGTGCCTGGAATTTACTGTCATACTTAACGCAAAGGCTTCATTTCTTCCCTAGATAATCTGTGCTCATTTTGCTTCTTTGCTGCTGTGGTAAAACTAATCTGGGTTTAGTTCAGTTTCTAGGTCATAGTTCAGGGACCATTGGAGTCAAGAACTTTACAAAGGCCATGGCACAGTGTCGAGGGCAGCCCTGCTTATACACTGAAGGCCTAAAATCAGCCATAGGCCTAAAATCAGCAATAGGCCTGACATACATGCCTGCTAACACAAAGTCTTGGGTCTTTGTGGAAAAAAACTGAAACAGATGGCTAGAAGCTATTGTAAACAAGCAAGCAGCTTTGGTGGAAAACTGCCAGGCTGAATAGTCATAAACCTTGTAGATAGGTAATCTTGGTGGATAGTACCAACTTAGATAAGGACAAGTGAATCATAGGCGGAGTCATAGTGATCTGTCCCCTGAACCTTCACCCAGCTGACACCCTGTTCTAGAAGATATCTGTACTCCCCCTGAGCACTGACATCCTGACTTTTTGTGTATATAACCCCTGTGTGAACAAAGTAAAAATTATGATTTGATCAGACTATAGACAAATCGTGGTTCTTTGCGTCTTTGCCTCTCCCCCCCCAACTCCCCACCGCTCTCTTTCAGGGAACCTCCCTGACCCCTGTTTAATGCCCTGCTGGACAGAACAGCAAAGTGGTTCTCAACCTGTGTGTCTTGACCACCTTGGGTGTCACATATCAGATACACTGCATACCAGATATTAACATAATGATTCCTAACAGTAGAAAGATTACAGTTTTGAAGTAGCAACAAAAATAATTTTATGGTTCAGGGGTGTCTTAGGGTTTCTATTCCTATACAAAACAAGCAAGAAGCAAGTTGGGGAGGAAAGGGTTTATTCAGCTTACACTTCCACATTGCTGTTCATCACCAAAGGAAGTCAGGACTGGAACTCAAGCAGGTCAGAAAGCAGGAGCTGATGCAGAGGGCATGGAGGGATGTTGCTTACTGGCTTGTTTCCCCTGGCTTGCTCAGTTTGCTTTCTTATAGAACCCAGGACTATCAGCCCAGGGATGGGACCACCCACAATAGACCCTCCCACCCTTGATCACTCATTGAGAAAATGCCTTACAGCTGGATCTCATGGAGGCATTTCCTCAAGGGAGGCTCCTTTCTCTGTGATAACTCCAGCTTGTGTCTTGTTGACACACAAAACCAGCCAGAATTGGGGGGGGGGTGTCATCATAACATGAGGAACTGTATTAAAGGGTCACAGCATGAGGAAAGTTGAGAACCACTGCCCTAGAGGAACACTGCTTACTGGATTGCTCTCTATGGATAGCACAGCCTGCTTTCTTAATACGTCCTAGACCCATCTGCCTTGGCATGGCATGGCCCACAGTGAGATGGGCTTTTCTACATGAATTAGCAATTGAGAAAATGCCCCAGAGATATGCCCACAGGGTGATCTGATGAAGGCAATTCCTCTGAATAGGTTCCTTCTCCTCAGATTTGACTAGGTTTGTGTCAAGTTGCCAATGAAGCTAACTATGACAACAAACAGCCATTATTGGCTACACAGCTCCTCTAGTTTGGAATCTGGATTGTATCATGCGTACTCTCTCTGGCCTTGCGTGCTCTCTTTTGTATGACTCTCACCCGCTTTAATTTAATGGTAGGGTTTTCAGCTCTAATTAAGTCCTTTATCAACATTTTCTTAGCATCAGCACATACTCTTCCAAATAAACTTTAGAATAAAGAGGATTAGCTCCAAAATAAACCCGTAATGATCTTATAGAAATTCTGATTGGATGTCGAATTTAGCTTTGGTGTTTCAGCATCCTGACCATATTGAGGACCATGGAGACTTCCTGTCTATACAAGCTTTCTTTTATGTCTTTGGAGAGGTCTTTGTGAAGGTTCTTCCTGGGTACATGTGATGTGACAACCCATGCCTTCAGGCAGAGTGGAAATGGGGAAGAGTGTGGAGTGCTGGGTTTGGGTGGTTGAGACCTGTCATTCTAACCAGCAGAGATCAGGCAGAGCATCCAGTGAAGGCACACTTAGTTGAATAGGATATTAACAATATTAGGTAAGAGTGTTTGGATGCTTGAGTCAGCAGCAAGGGCACAATATCATTCAGATCTTTGCAAGGGATGGAGAGATGGCCCAGTAGCTAAAGACACAAGTTCAGTTCCTGGCACGACATGATGGTTCAGAGTCATTCATGGCTCCAGTCTCA